AACGAGAGAGGGAACACAAGCAGGGGGAGTGGGAGAGGGAGAAGCAGTCTTTCTGCTGAGCAGGGATCCCGATGCAGGGCTCAAACCCAGGACCCTGGGATCATGACCTGAGCCGAAGGCAGACGCTTAACGACTGAGCCACCCAGGCACCCCAAGAGCCTGATTTTCTTGGGCAAGTCGCTTCATGTCTAATTCCTCAGTTTCCTGATTTGTAAAATACAGGCAATAATGGACACGCACCTAAAGGGGTTTTGATGTGAACTGAATAAAATACCATAGCATATATAAAGTGCTCGTCACACAGTGAGGATTCAACAAAAAATCACTGCTACTACCATTTGGGGGTCCAGACGCAGAAGACGCAGACCAGCAGTGATGCAGAGCAGATAAAAATGCTCGGGAATGGCAAGCTGGCCTACAAATGGCACTGCTGTTCTCTTGAGCTCAGGCTTCCGTAACGTCCCTCAAAGTTGAATTTTATTAATTCCCCCCCAAAAGTTTATCTTACCATTTGCCTCTATTTCCTGAAAGGCAATTTCTGTTGTTGTTTTTTAAGATTTTACTTATTCATTTGACCTAGAGAAAGAGAAAGAGAGAGAGTGCACGAGCAGGGGAGGGGCAGAGCGAGAGGGAGAAGCAGGGAGCCCGATGCGGGGCTCGATCCCAGGACCTTGGGATCATGACCTGAGCCGAAGGCAGACCCTTAACGACTGAGCCACCCAGGAGCCCCATGAAAGGCAATTTCTAAGAGAAAAATATTCCCCATTCAGTGAGACTTCCAGCATGTGAATTAGGATTTTACCACAGAGTTTTGACTTTATTTCACCAGCGGCCTCAGCACATCTGCCAGTGTGTGAACCTAGACACTGTTGCCATGAGAGGCAGGTTGGAGAAAGGTACCCAGCCTGACCCAGCGGTTGTAGGACCCCATCCTTTGTCCCATCTCAACTCAACGCCCAGGGCCACACGGAAGATTTGTCAGATGACAGCTCATCTTATCCTACAGGCACCATGTTATGATTTCAGGTGAACTCATCACTGGACAGCGATGTCTGTTGTTAGTCATTACCCTCCTGGCGTCGGGGGAGATTTCAGGCATGTGGAAGGCACCAGAAGCCCCATGCCCAGCAGCCACTGACTCACAAGCTCTGAGAACTGACTGTTCATGGTGACTCGGCATTGACTCGTCCCTTTGGTAGGCTCTGCAGGAGCCTGGCTGGGCCTCACCATGTCCTGTTCCTTTCTCCTCTGCTGAATGCAGTCCCTATCTTCATGTTAGGAAGCATCTTTTCAAAAATAAAATTAGAAGAGTAAGAGAGAATAATTTTTTTAAAAAGATTTTATTTATTTGCTGGAGAGAGAGAGAGCACAAGCAGGGGGGAGCGGCAGGCAGAGGGAGAAGCAGGCTTCCCACTGAGCAGGGAGCCCGATGTGGGACTCGATCTCAGGACCCTGGGATCGTGACCTGAGCTGAAGGCAGACGCTTAATGACTGAACCACCCAGGAGCCCCAAGAGAGAAGAATTAAGAGCCATTTCCAAGAAGGAATTTAGCTAGGAGAACCGAATCCTGTCTAATATCCTGGGTTTAAAAAAACCAGCTACGAACTACAAATGCAGTTGACTTTGGCCCTGAGATCTGTAGGGAAAACTAGAAAAAGAAATAGTCATGAATCAGCAGCACCAGCAATGTTTGCTTGTGAGCTCTTTTAGTCATGTGCGGGAGTACATAATTCCGTCCCGGGGTCCTATGGAGTTTGCTTCGTGCCCCAAGGTGTGGAATTTGGAAAAATACCAGCCCTGGCAGTTCTTGGGAAACAAAGCAAAGGAAACTCCCATGAGAGTGCTGTTTCTTGGAGAACCGTTACTCACCTGAGCCCTGGGTTCAGGTGGAGGTTCAGAGTGAGTCTGCAAGGGCTCGTGGGGCACCTGAGCCCAGGAGCTCCTCAGTCGGTGCCAAGGCTGGGAGCCAAGGATGTCCACAGGGCCCAGGGAGAGGACACTAAGGGGGGCCTTTGGACTTTGGGGAGTCGTTTACTGCTTCATCTTCTTTTCCCTAGCACCTGCTGTGCACCAGGCACTGTTCTAGGCACGGAGAAACAAGAAGAACAGTTTCTGTTGTCATGGAATTCACCTTCTTGTGGGGAGATACAGACACCACACATGGAAGCAAATGCATTAAGAAGTTTATTTCAGAGTGGCAAGTGCTATGAAGACAGTAAAGCAAGGCAATGCATTCGAGAGCAATTGGGGGTGATGTTAGACCATAATGTTAGATCTGAAGCACCAACCATGGGAAGACCAGGGGAGCCCGATGCAGGCAGTAGAATTACCAGCACAAAGGCTCCAGGTGAGGACAGCTGTGGCCCCTTCGATGCACATAACAATGACCAGTGTCCCTGGAGCCTCGTGAATTTGTGGCTCCTTTCAGATTTATCCCTGGCATGCTATCACCCCAACAGCAGTGTCCATTCAGAGAGCCATCTCCTGGAGGCAGGGTCAGAAGGAGTGTCTGGAAATGCTTTGGAGACAAGCAGAAATGATTGATGAGAGGACTAATCCTGCCCTCCTCCTCACCTCCACATCTAACCCACCATCAAGTCGGTGGGCTCATGCTCCCTGTTTTCTCCTAGGAAGTCTACTTCTCTTCATGTCCACCACCTTCACCCTGGTTCAAACCCCCAGCCTCTCTCCCCAGGTCTACTGGAAAAGCCTCTGAAACTGGTTCCTCATGTATGGTCTTGCCCATCCCTGGTCCACTCTCCACACTGTGGTCAGAATGATCTTTTAAAACCTCAGATCTAGGGGCGCCTGGCTGGCTCAGTCAGGGGAGCATGTGACTCTTGATCTTGGGGTCGCGAGTTGAGGCCCCACATTGGGTATGGAGATGACTTGAAAATAAAAGCTTTAAAACAAAACAAAACCAAACCTCAGATCTAATCATGTTGCATACACCTCCTCCGTACTTTTCCATGATTCCGCATTGCTGTCAGGATTAGGACCCAAATCCCCACAAGGACAATCAAGGCTCTATCTGTACAGAACCCTTATTTCTTTTCTAGCCTCGTTTCCAGCCATTTGTGGCTCCACTTTGTGCTCTAGCTACAGAGGCTTTCTTCCAGTTCCCCTAATATGCTGTACCAGTTTTGGCCTCAGGACCTTTGCACAAGCCTCAAGGGCTCTTAATCTCTTCTCCTTCCATGCACCCTGGCCTCAGCAACTTCTATCCAGGCTGCAGCATACCTGTTACTTCAGCAGGGATGTCTTCCTTGTTGTTCAACACTGTGATACTATGTAGGGTCTTTGGTTACATGTCCCCAGTAGCAATTCATATTTATCATCCTAGCTCTCAACACATTTCTATTTATTTGTGATGCCTCTTTTCCTGCACGAGGCCATACACTCCAGGAGGGTGGGAACCAATTCGGTCTTGTCCATGGTTGTGTCCTCAGCACTTCGGAAGTGTCTGGAGCACAGGAGACACTTGATACATATTTGTTGAGGCAATGAAGGAATGAGTACTCATAAAGACCTTGACTCTTAAATGTTCCACTTGAATGTGCTACTTGCTTTCAACAAAATGAACTAACAGGAGACCATCTGTATTTTCTGTTCCATTTCTCTACCCTATAGAGATGGTGATTGATATCTGGAGTTCAAGAATAAGCATAGTGAGCAGGAATTCTGGCAGATGAACAACCTGCTTAGGAAGCCTGTTCTTGCCTTCGACTATCAGAACAGTGTTATTTTCTTTGGCCTGAAGGAGTCTAAGACTGTGTGTACTCAGGGAAACGGTGTAGACCTGCAGTGTGGAGCTGGGGCCAGGGGTGAGACTCAAATAATAATCAAGTGGAAGAGGGTTGTGTGAAGCCTGGTGGGGGACATCGCCTTTCTCAGCGGCTGAGGAATTGGAACATTCCCCCTTGTGTCAATGTGGAAGTGAATGAATTAAGTTCTGTTTTATGCTGTGCCTGGAAAAATACTAATGCTGCACTCGCATAGTTTCTGCAAGCAAACCCCAAATGCCACTCAGTCTCAGCCCTCGGAGAGACTGTTACAGGGGGAAAGAATCAACATTCACAGACTATGGGAAATACCACTGAAGTGGAAAAAGATTAGAGCCGTAGATTTTTGCTTTTTTGAGGTTATGTACTCCTTTAAAAATCTGATAGAAGCAATGGACCCTTGCTCTCCTTCGTGCCCCTTGACCCTCTGCAGAAAATATATTTCTATAACATCCTCTTATCCATGGAGACCCTGGGGGGCCATAGCCTCAGGTTAAAAAATTCCAGTTAGTGGGCCTGGTTGGAAATTGAGCAGAAATAAGCTAGTAAGAGATGACATGGAAGCACAAGTTAGACAAGGTTTGATTTAAAGAATAAAATAGAAGCGCCCTGTAATTAGGTTTTTGTATTCCTGAAGTTCTTTGCTTTTTATTTTATTTTATTTTTTTAAGATTTTATTTATTTGACAGAGAGAGAAACAGTGAGAAAGGGAACACAAGCAGGGGGAGGGGCAGAGGGAGAAGCAGGCTCCTCACTGAGCAAGGAGCCTGATGAGGGACTCGATCCTAGGACCCTGGGATCATGACCTGAGCCAAAGGCTGACGCTTAATGACTGAGCCACCCAGGCGCCCAGTTCTTTGCTTTTTAGAACAAGTTGGTTGGCACAGGGCGGCCACGTGCACCAGAGTGAAATAAGGCAGACCTCTAGGGGCTGAGGGGAAGCCACTCTGAGTATTTCCCCAGATTTAGCCAACCACGGTGATCCATCCACTAAAATCCACCAGGCGGCCAGGATTTTAGTCTCATGTTCACCACTGGTCCCCACTGTCTTGTTCAGTGCTTGGCACGTAGTAGGTGCTCAATAAATACTTAGTGAGTGGCTGACTCAATTAGTCTATCCTGGGTTGCCCCACTTTATTCTGTCTTCCTCTCCTTCCTTTTGTTCTGGATTTATCAGATTTTAGTTTTTATTTATTTGTTCAAGAAATCTTTGTTGAGGTCGGTGATGTGATGGCATGTGTTAGCTGAATCCAAAGTTGATGCAAATTCTAAAATTACACTCAAACCTTAGGTAAAACAAACAAACAAACAAACAATATTTGTTTTCGCCTTCTGGTAGGCATTAATTGTCCCTAGGCATGGAATGACATGAGATTGAAGAGCTCCTGCTCTGGGATGCATTACCCCCAGGTTAAAGTCTCAATTCTGCTGCTTGGGAGTGATGAAAGCCTCAGTTTCTTCAACTGTAGAATGGGGTGTGAGAATTACATAAGGTTATGCAGTTAGAGCACGTAGCATGATTCTTGACACACACCTACATGTTGTTTTAATAAATGTCAGACATTTTTATTCTTACCTGGCTCCTCTGTCATATAGTTCGTTGGTTCCTTTAGGGTCCTCTTCCCTCTCTGAGCCCACAGTTCTGAACCCCAGAAACGGTAACTATACAATAGGTCACGTGCGGCCTCTAAAAAGTCCCAGAAATATTCAGTCATGGTAATACTTAAGGGCTGGGGACATTACTAATTTCCTCCCTTCCTATTTTTCCATATTTTTTATTTCAATTAATAAGCATGTATCACTTCATAATTTAAGAAGGACCGAATAAGAAAAAATATTGTAGCAAAAATGTGTTTATTCCATGTTGCTAAATTCAGAGGTAGGAAACAAGGACATTTTATTGTGTCTGGTCTATAGAATCAATTCCAGGAAACCAGGAGGACTCGGTTTGTCCATTACGTGGCCCAAATAAAAATGCCCAAATACAGGCGCCAAGAAAGGACGGCTGCATCTCTGAGTGGGCATGGATGTGCTGTGCTGTTTGGTACATGTGGGTTTAGGAACGGGGGACTCCTGGTTTCATCTCCGAGCTCTCCCGCTATCCAGCTCCATGTGCAACTTTGGGAAAATTTCAGCCCCAGTTTTCTCATCAGTAAAGTGGGAGAGACAAATGGAGAGACTCTTCCTTACAGATTGTTGTGGGAATGAATATCGAATACTTTACACATCAGAGGAAGTCTTCCATGCATTCTTGCTTTCTTTCTGTTTCTCCAATAGCATCAGTGACATCATCATCCTTTATGTTATACGTGTGTGCGTTTTGAACATGCGTGTGCCTATAAAAGTATATACAAATGTCTGCACTTTGATGTCGACTCATCATCTCGGCCTGGTCATGGCCAAACTAGAACTCTTGATTTCCCAAACCCATCCCGCCGGCTGCCCCTCCCTTAGTCTTCTGCACGTCAGGAAATGGCGCCAACGCTCACTTGGTTAGTTGTCCTGCCTCAAAAGCTAAGAGTCGTCCTTCGCTCCTCTCCCTCCCTCACATCCCGTATCCAGTGTGCTAACTCTGCTGATGTGTCTCAAAATCAGCCCCTTCTTTTGACAGCCACTGCCCCACCGCAGACAGAGCCACTGTCCTCTCACTACCGTGCGGGATAGTAGCTCCTGCCTGCATCGGGTGCCCGACCGTACGACCGCCCCCGACAGGGGCCCCCAAGTGAGCGCTGACACGCTTACCTTGGGCTGTGCCACATCCTTGCTCAGAACGGCCCCCGCCGGTGGTGGCTTCCTGTGACGCTGGAAATAAAACCGGGGTGGCTCACTGTCCTTCAGGCCTCTGTACTGGGGAACAAGCAGACCTCTTCTGTCAAGGGCCAGGTGGCAAATATTTCAGGTTTGGCGGGCCACATATGAGTCTGTCACATCGCCATCATCTTCTTCTCCTTCGTTGTCTTCATCGCGGTCTTCATTTCTATCTCCTTTTTCTTCCAACCCTTTCAACATGTCGTCACTGTTCTTAGCTCACGGGCCGACAGGAACACACGAAGGGCTGGCGTGTGCAGAGTCCTGTGTTAACGTGTGCTGGCCACGACTTTCCTCTCCAGATCATCTGCTCTCCCCGTCTGTCCTGCTCTCTCTGCTCTGGCTTCAGCGGTGCTCTCACTGTCCTTGAGCAGCACCCTGACTGGGTTCTGCTCAGGGCCCTTGCTCTCCTATCCCTCTGCCCCTGATGCTGGCCCCTCAGGTCTGCTACGGGGCTCACTTGCTTCGTTTGCATCTCTGCTGGCAGGTGCCTCCTCGGAGAAGCCTCTCTGAGCTGCCTTTCTATAGTACTCACCACCCCCCGCACCCCCAGGCACATTCTCTCCCTCGCCTGGCTATACTTCTTCTGGTACTTACTATACATTTCCTTGCCTGTCGGTTTTGCTGCCCTTGTGTGTAATCTTTTGTCTTGTTCAACACTCTGTCTCCCTGACACCCAGAAAAGAACAGGGCACTTAGTGGTCATTCAGAAATATTTGTTGCATACATTAATAAATGTAAGAACAGTTCTGCCCTGTAGCTAGTTTTCCACCCCTGCCATTCCACTCATCTGCAACAAGGCGGCCCTCTTTATACATTTTCCGCCCCGTTGGCTGTGTCTGATAACGGCACCAAGCTGCGCTCTGAGTGACACTGAGGACTGTGAGAACCCACTTCCATGTGCTGTCGGGGTCTGCAGGATGAATCCAAGTGTGGACGTGGGTGTGGGGAGGACCAGGGGAGGAGGGGGAGCAAAGTCAGGCTTTGAAGTGAGGGGAACTGTCCAGCTCTCAGGAAACTGATGTCATTGGAGCTTCCCTGGATGATAAGTGCTCAGTGGAGCCCATGCCTAATATCTCTTGAGGAGGGAGAGAAGCATCTCTTAGAGCCAGGGGAAGAACATTGAGATAAATTGTCCTTCCCAGGGACACACAGCCAAGACAGCCTGCAAACCACTTAGTGCAGACACTGAAGGGATGGTGCTTATCGGGCCCAGATGGGACATGGTGGAAAAAATCTGGTATTTCTGGAGCCACTGAATAGAGCATGGCGACTCCCAGCCCCAGGCACAAATCTCCCAGAATCTCCTTCTAAGGGCTTTGGCATTGGCAAGCTAGAGGAGTGCATCTGGGGCAGTCAGGTTTACACTCTCCCACCCCACATTCCCACCCTGCCTTGCTCCCGTCCAGAAGCCTTAGGAGAAGTGGGCTTGGATCAGCATCACTGCAAAAGTGAGTGTAGGTCCCTTCCTGGGGGCATTGCAGGGGGCTACTCAGGAGGTGCACTGCAGGGGGCATCCTGTGGGGGTCTCCAGGAGGACTTGATACCGTGCACCTTCAAGTTCTGGCTCAGGGTCAGACAGTGAGCCTTGGATTGGGCAGTGAGCCTGGTTGTACACTTACACACCAGGCAGGGACTAGACGAGTCCTGGCCCAGGAGCCAGGTCCGGGGGTGAAGACACAGAGGAATCTCTTCCTTGCATGCCCCTTAGGATAGAAACTGGGAGGTGCGGGACAGGGGAGCCTGTGTACTGTCCAGACTGGGGGTTTTATGTCCAAGATCACACGTCCAGCTCTTGATTTTAGAAAATAAGACAGCCGTATGATATGAGAAGAAATGCAATGGTAATATAAATCAAACTGTCCACCATAGCCAGGCCTCAGGAGCCCAAGGCAGGAGGTCAGATGGTCTGGGATCCGTTGATGGGTCTGCTGTGTGACCTTGGACTAGTCACTTGACCTTTCTGGACTTCAGTATTTTCACATATACAATGGTCATGGTACATCTTGACGTTGCCATCTCATGAGTTATTGGAATCAAACAAGAGAACAAAGTCTTTGTAAAGTTAGAAAGGCTCTAGTCACGTATAACTTGACCCCTAACCAAGTTGTATAAAACAGTAGACCAATAGGAGCAATAAACACCCAATGAGCTTGGATCGGGTGCCCACTACCGTGCCCCATGTTCATGCATGTTTCACATGCTTCACTGTGGAGAGGCTGGCACCGTTATCACTTCCATGAACAAACAGATGAGGTCATAAGACACAAAGAAGTTACATAACTCGCCCCAGGTCACACAGAGAGCCAGGGTGGACCAGACTCTGAATTCAAGCAGTTTGTCTCTGGAGGATGCACTGGGAGCTTGCACTGGGACCTTGAGGGCCTGTAGCCCAGATCTCCAAGTTCCCAACCCAGCCCCCCCACCCTTGGCTTCCTCGGGGAAGATAACTACAAGTCTGTCCAATGAAAACAGACCCATCAGACCCGTCACTATCTCTTCCCTGCAGAGCGGTCAGTCCCTGCCAACCGCAGAGAGACGGCGGGGCCTTGACACAGCCTGATGTTTACCCCCTCTAGGAGCCATGGGTTCCAGTGGGGATGGTGGAACCCTGACAGTCCCAGGAAGGAGGGGGACATGCCAGGGAGCGGGGCCCCTCCGGGTTCTGCAGATTGGGCACGTGCGGAGGAACTTCCCAGTCCAGGATGCGCCTCCCTCACTGCACAGCAAGTGGGTCTTGGAGAAACATGGCCCCCCTGCCTCTGCTTTCTCAAGGAACTCTCTGAAGGACAGGCTGATGCTTTCCATGCCCTCCTCAGGAAGAAGATCAGGAAAGGCAGTCAGCGCCCCCTTCCCTGGGCCCCTCCTTGAGGACGGTGTGGCCAGGCTGGCAGCCCAGGGCCAGCTGCTCAGCTTGCCTGATGTTATTCCAAGGCCTTTGTCCTGGACAAGAGAAGACCCGGGAAGCATGGGCACTGTCAAATATCTGAAGGGCCGCCCTGAGGCAGGCTAGTTCAGGGTGGCCTCGGTGGGGCGCAGGGAGGAATGGTGGGGAAGAGCGCAAGGAAACACGCAGACATCTCCACAGAAGGAAGAAGAACTGCCTTGGGGGCAGTGAGCTCTCCATCACTGCAGGGGTTCAGGCAGAGGCAGGAGACCCTCTTGGTGGGGGCCTTGCCAAGTGGGGGTGTGCACCCGGGGAGGGAGAGAACTCGGGGATCAGGAAGGCCTGCCCAGCCCACCGTGAACCTTGTGGCCCTGTGAAGAGGGAGGGGAGGACGTGGGATGGAAATGGCCTGGCATCTTCCATGCAGGTGTGCCTCATGCTGGCCTTTCCCACCTTCACCCTGGACCTCAGCTCTCCCTCCTGTTCGGTCTTGGCCCTACTGCCCTGCAATGCCAGGCCTATTACTTTTTCTTCCTGGAATAACTACTGGCCCTGCACCCTGCCCCTCTGTGCCCTGCTTGTTGCTGGGTGACA